ACATGGAACGAGTTCGTTGTGCTCTACAAAATGAGATCAATTTTCAATATATTTCGAGAAACTTTTTTTTACCAACTACATACCATATGGTAACTTCTTCGTTTTTAAGTCGTTTTTGAAAACGTTTGCTCAGAAGGAACGAGTTCATAATGATCTATTGGATCTACAAATTTCTGGGTGAAAAAAATACTGGACTAAAAATTACCATACTTTACCACTATGGTATGTGGGTGGTAACTTGTGGCAAACAATGATGAAAGTCGTAAAATACAGTTACTATACTCCTACTATCATGTATTCAACCTTCTTACAATATTGGTATGTTCATACCATCATGATACGCTTTCTTACCATATGGTATTAAATATGAGCATACCATATGGTAATGACAGGTAAAAAAATTATTCAATTTTTTTGTACTAAAAATATATTAAAGTGGACATCATTTTAAAGATCACATTTAATCTGATTTATCTGTGCAAAAAAATTTAAATTTCGACTTAAAACGAGAGAGAAATCGTCCGTTAAAGATTAAAGGGGAAAAGATAAAAGACTTTCCAGGAAAGAGGGGATACTGATGTCATGCTGATGTGGACAGGTTACTGATGATTGCTCACCATAAGAGTTACTCACCTGATCCGCTCCCGTATGCAGGTAGTTATAATTAATTAGAACGAACATTTTGATGTAATTTTTTTTAATTTTGACAAAAAAGATACATTATTAAATATGACGTCATTAGTGACAAAAATACAATAATTGGTGGAATAAGACTGGAGATGCAAAGAATAACACGTATTAATGCAGGTCAATTATTAAAAATAGCTTTAATTTGATTGATTTTGTTTTAATTATGGGTTTAGAGGTGGTTTACATGTGTTCATGGGTGTTTTAATTGAATGGCCCGTCCACCGAGGAGAGGAAGTGGGGTTTGGGATTTTTCCCATTTCTTGTCCGTTTGTGTGCCAAATTTAGCCACAAAATTCCCATTTGTTTGGCTTTTAAGCATTGTTGTTGGAGGGACTTTTTTCCCAAAATTTGGCATTTTAGCCTTGTTGTTGGAGATGGTCTAATTCCCAGGGATGAGATAATATGCTAACCCTCAAAGGGATGGGATTTTTTTGACACCACAGCCATCAACCGTCCATTTCATCCCGAAGGACATCGGTTGAAAAAATGATTATTCTACTCTCATCTTTTAGTTTCTTTATGGGAATATAAGTTGTAGTTTGAGTAATTCAAACCTAGGACATTATTATTATTAATAATAATAATTTTCTTTCGACTACAACTCATTTGTTGTTCGTTTTAAACACTATGTAATAATAAAATATCATTCCTTATCTTTAATTATTTCAAAACCTAACAATTAAATAAATTATTTTAAACACTGTTGTACTACAAGTGTTTAAAGAGTTTTTTCATTTTCGGGTTACATCAAGAACAAGTGTAAAAATCGAATATGTGATCAGTTCGTGAATGATTCTAATAAGATATATAAAGACAAATTTTTTGAGCAGTGTAGACACCAAATGTATTTTACAGTTATTTTCGAATATGAAAACATATCGTAAAGTTTTTTTTAACTCGTATGATTCCGGTATTTTCTTATTTAATAATTATTAATTATTCAATAATTATTTTTATTTAATTTATTTTTTTAAATAGGACACCCCTATATAAAATTCCTGGGTCCGCCACTGCCTCTACGACCCAATATAAATATAATTTCTCGAAATTGGTGTCGATTACCACCCAATACCATATGGTATTGGCTTATAATATATATAGTTACTACTCAATATCATATGGTATAGTGTGGTAATATCAATATATATTACCTAAAAGAAAAAAATAGAAGGAGGGAGAGAAAAAAAAAACTTGTCTTTTGTCTCATCTCATTTCCTCCGCAATCACGAACACCAAACGCCAAAAAAAGGAAAAAGATCGAAATTTAAGCCAACGAGTTGATGAAGAGAATAAACGCAATGAAAGAGGGTGGATACAGTTTTTATTCGTCGATTGCTGGAGAAAAAAATGAAAGAAGAAGAGAAGGGAGCAGATATAGATCTGGAAAGGAGATTGAGAGAGAAAAAGGAAGAGAGAAGGAAGAGAGAAAGAGAAAGGAGAGTTGCAGATAAATGCTTATTTCTCTCTCTTCCTATGAAAAAGCAGCCATTAAATGTGGGATAAAATAAAAAATTAACGAAAAAACGGACAAAAATACCCTTCCCCCCTGAGTCTAGCCCAACCGTACGATTGCTCCGCCCCTAGATCTACGGTCCCTATTTATTACTGACAGGTCAGTAACCAAGTGGTTACTGACCGTATCCCAAAGCCATCTAACGTAGAATGGTGTTGATGGCAGAGGTTGATTGCAGCTTTTGTTAACATGAAGTGGAACTTATTCTGTTCGAATCTTGAGGATTATGGTGTTGACAAATTTTATACCCACTACGAGAAAATTATACTTTACCAACGCTTTTATTGCAACACTTGTATAAGATCGCATAATATAAATATAGGTGTTAATTCCAAGTTTGGTCACTAAGTTTACTAAAAAGTGTCATGTTTAGTCACTCAAAATATTTAATTTCAATGTTGGTTACTAGAATTAGTAAAATGGTCCATATTTAGTCACTCTCCGTTAGTCTCCGTCAGTCTATCCTAAGAGCATCCCCAACGGTGGGGATGGGTTGGATTGCAATCCTAGGTGACATTGGGATGAAAGTGGAGAGATGGGTGACATTGTTGTGGAGAGCTTTGCATCATGTGCAAATTTGCACACCATGCAAGTGGTGATGCAATTGAAACTGGCCCACTTTTTAAACTTTTTTTGTTCTTTCTTTCTTTCCTTCTTTCTTTTCTTTTTCGTTCTTTCTAGTTTCTACAACCAAAAGTTGCATATTACATTTGTCTTTTCTATTTGTTTTGCATTTATCTTGTTCCATTCATTTCTATCATATATATATATATCCATTTATTAATATATATATATATATATATTAGTAAGATTAATAATATGATTAAAACTTGAAGATTCACATATATTTCAAGATAATACATCCTACAGTACAAATCGAAAAGAAAAATACACTACACACATCAAGACAACTATTACATGATTAATTAAACACACTCACAAATTAAAACAGATACAAAGCATTAAACATTTTAATTTAAATCAAATTGAAAACATAGAAAGAAAAAAACACAATCCAATGAAAGTACAATGAGAAATTATTTATCACCTAGTAGCTCATTCATTTGAATCTCATATAGCTTTCTTTGAGTTTCTGTCATTGTTGTTGGATCCATAGCCAACAATTTGACTATCAGCTTATCTTTGTGACATTGTTCTTTTGACTTCAAATCAGCCTCCATAATGGTTGAAAATTTTCTCATTGCTTCTACCTTTTCCATTTCAATTTCGGATTGTCGTTGTAGTAACTGCATGTTTTCTGATGATTCAGATGACGTAGAATTTTTTACACCTTTATCCTTGGAGGCTTTTCTACCTGGGGGACGAGGTTGAGATACGGTCTCTGGCTCTCCCATGGATGGCATGGTTGTATTTGAAGATGATAAAGTGTATTGATCAGAAGCGGTATTTTTAGTCCTCTTCGATCCTCCTCTATCTTCATCATGGTCCAGAGGTTTAGCCCTCTCACTTTGACTCCGCCATTTCTCTTCATCCTTAAAGACAGCCCAAGCATGCATAAAAACAAAATCTTTACCTTCATTTTCAAGATATAACTGCTTTGCCCTGTTCTTCTTGTCTTCCTCGTTTATACCACTTCCCTTCTATGTTGGATTTGTTCGTAGCAGCCGACGAACTTTGATACTGCCTGATTCATTCTGCTCCATCGATTTATCATAGCTTGTTTGCCCCTTTTCTTTCGAGAGCTCTTGTTACGATTACCTTTCATAATTAGACCAAATGCGTTCCCAAAAGCTGCTTAGATTTTGATCCCTACCAATTTCTGCATCTTTACTAATATTAAGTCATGAACTGCACAACAAAAGATCATCATCAACATTCCAAAGAGCTTTTCGTGGCTGATCTTGCATCACCCTTTCTTGGCTACAATGTCCAGAAAATTGAGAACTTTGTTCCGTATAGCTAGTTGGAGTGTCTGAAGATTGATTTGGTGGGGGTTGAGAAAAGTTTGTTGGAACTTGCATTGATGAATAGTTTTGCTGGAAGTATGCAAATTTAGGATTTGGGTAGATGGGCATTGAGAAATTACCCGCATGTGAAAAAAATGAGGAGTTCATTTGAGGGGTTGTGTATGGACTGATAGGAGCTTGCGAATCTTGATGAGTCTCATCACTAGGGACATTTGCTGAATTATAAGGGAAGTTGGAATATGGGTTGAGGGGAGGACAAAACGGATCCATAAGAGAAGAAAGCAAAGGAAGGAAGACAAATGCTAGTTTGAAGGAGGCGAGAAAGATTGTGTGGTGATTTTCCTATTTATCAACCACTCAACTTATCTACCCAATAGATGGAGAATCGACTCGGACCAATGAGAGATCTCCACATCATCACCTTATCTATCTAACAGATAGAAAATATGGTGGACCAATAAGAAAGCTCCAACATATATGATGACATTATCTCTTCCTAACAATTGGACCAACCAATAGGAACACTCCACATCATCACCTAATCTATCTAAGGTGGACCAATAAGAAATCTGATGACATTATCTATTCCTGATCTATCTAACGGATAGAAATCAATTTCGGCCAATAAGAAAGCTCCACCTCATCGATCTTATCCCACATCCTCAACCTCAACCCAAAAACTCTTTCTATATTTTCATCAATAAATACAACCACACATTTTCATCTCACATTCAACCATACTCATCAAATATCTGATACAAAGATGAACTCTTCATCTTCTTCATCCTCTCCATCTTCTACTGACTCTAATCCTGATAATCCCTTCTCTCCACCAAAAATTGTCCAATGCCTCTTCGATGATACCTACTCAAAAAGTGTGCAACAATATGTGCAATTACAAACAAAAACAATATGAAGCCTCTTCATCAAGGCGTCCTAGGAAGCCAAGAAGATACATTGAAAGGCTTCGTGAAGATGGTCATCAACGCCTGTACAATGATTACTTCGCTGAGAACCCAACATACCCAGAAGAAAAGTTTTGACGTAGATTTCGCATGCGAAGAAACTTATTTCTTCGCATAGTTGAAGGTGTCAAGAATCAAGATCCATACTTCCAAAGCAACCCTGATTGTACGGGCAGAGAAAGATTCTCGGCACTCCAAAAGTGTGCAACATCAATGCGAATGCTAGCATACGGTACGACTGCAGACAATGTAGACAATGTACGACTGCAGAATGTGTTCAACATTTTGTATGAGCTGTTAATGCTGCATTTGGGGATGAGTACTTGAGGAGGCCGAATGCCACAGATTTTGCTCGCTTGCTCCACGTGGGGCAACAAAGAGGTTTCCCAGGTATGCTAGGAAGTATTGATTGTATGCATTGGGAGTGGAAAAATTGTCCAACGTCATGGAAGGGTCAATATGCTAGAGGGGATCATGAAACTCCTATGATTATGCTTGAAGCTGTTGCTTCACAGGATTTATGGATATGGCATGCTTTTTTTGGTCTTCCAGGTACATTGAATGCCATAAATGTGCTAGATCAGTCTCATGTTTTCCATGAGGTGTTAGAAGGAAAAGCACCAAGGGTTCAGTATTTTGTTGATGGAAGTAACTATAATTTGGGTTACTACCTCACTGATGGTATTTATCCTAATTGGACAACATTTGTCAAGTCAATCCCATTACCTCAAGGAACGAAGCACAAGTTATTCGCTAAGAAGCAAGAAGCAGCCAGGAAAGATGTTGAAAGAGCATTTGGGGTACTCCAAGCACGATTTGCAATCATTAATGGTCCATCACGCATGTGGTGCAAAGGTATAATTGGAGACATCATGAGAGCATGTGTAATTATGCACAACATGGTCGTGGAAGATGAGCGGGATTCATATATTAGTCATTTTGATTACACAGACGACGAAGTGAACTTCAATGTATCCATGCCAACAGTTTCTCAATCTCGTCTCCCTGAATATGAAGAGTATCTTCGAAACAATGCAAGAATTCGTAATCAGTCAACAAATAGTCGACTACAAGCTGATTTGATAGAAGAGATATGCTCTCGATTTGGTGACGAGGAAGAAGATGATTAATCTAGTATTGATTTTAACTTTATTGCTTTTGAGATATGTTCTTTGCATATTTGTGTTGCTTAAATATTGTATTTTTGTTATTAATAAAAAATTGGTGCAATTATCATTAAAAATATCTAAATCTATTCAATTTCAACTCAAAGTTAAACTATATTTATTGATATTAATTAACGATATAATAATTTACTAATTTTAGTTGAAAAGGCATTACAATATTTTAGTAAAATGATGTAGGTAATATGAATATAGAATTGTAGTAAAATTAAGTAGGACCCACGATGCAATTGCATGTGAACGGCATTGATGTAGATGGTATGAAAGTGAGGAGTGAGGTAGTTGTTAAACTTGTTGAAGTGGCAGTAGGGACCACACTTGAAATTGCATAAGAATTGCATCATTCAAAAAGCTTAAACCTCTAAACCCTCGCTCAACATGTGAGGCAGAGCATATCAAATGAAGAAATCGCCAAGAGACCAAACCTTGATTGGAGACGACTACGCCGTTAGCATTATCAGCAGAAGCAATGTCTACTCGCTCGACAATCAACAAGTAGGCAAGATACCTGACGGCTGATTTCAACAGACACGCCGCCCTGTAGAGCGTCTTCCCGCTCCCTTTGTCATCAAGCACGGTGATCCCTACCCAGCGCGATACCGCCCTGTCAATAAGATCCAATGGATCGTCTCCGCCCTTCAAAACCTCTTCAGGCCAGAGCTCGAGCACGATGTTCGGAACCTTGATTTCGGGATGCTAGTAGCAGCCGGGAAAAAGGGTCCTTGGCTGCGTGGGCTGGTCGGCTGAGTACTGAGCGGAGGAGATGGTCGGTGTGGAGTGGACGACGAAGTGGTGAAGAAGGGCGAGGACTAGGCGAGGGTGAGGACGGAAGAAGGATGGGGAAGGAGAGAATAGGAAGATTTCGCTTCTTCGTAGGCAGATTCCCTGGCGGAGATGGAGGGAGGAGGGAAGAATCAAGTTTGGTTAGATCTGGTCACCAGTGTGGATCTGAATCTTCTAGGGATCAGTGGGAGGAAACTAGAGTCGGCCGATCACGGGTTTGGATGGGTTGGTTTATGGGTTGGGTTGGGGTAACTGAAGTGGCGGGTTAAAATTGGTTGAGTAAGTTTTCTGTTAGCCATGTCAGCAATTGACTAACGGTGTTAACAGAGATTGACGGAGACTAACGGAGAGTGACTAAACGTGGACCATTTTATTAATTCGAGTGATCAACATTGGAATTAAATATTTTGAGTGACTAAACATGACACTTTTTGTAAACTTAGTGACCAAACTTGTAATCTACCCATAAATATAGGCAACATTTTCACCATGTAACAAAATATTATACATTATACCAATTCAACAACTATATATTAAAATATATTGTTACTCTTACATTTTAGGCTATACTTAGAAAATATTACACATTATACCAATTCAACAACTATTATATATTAAAATTATTATGTTGGTAATTTAAAACTATTTGGAGCTTCTCTACGAATATAAGTTAGGCTGATAATCAGTTTCCCGGTATCCGGTTTCACCGGTAACAGTACCGATAACTGGCGGTTACCGGTAATACCGTTAACTTGCCGATTTCGGTTGTCGGCGGCAACAAATAGCTCCTCGGTATACCGGCCCTCCTGCCGGTATACCGACGGTTATCCAGTTAAACCGGATACCGGAAAGAAAGGAAAAAGCGCAGAAGCAGGGGCCTTCAAAGACATGAAACACGATGTTTGGAGGAGAAACATGAAAGGATGAAACCCTAATGCGCTAATCACCGAAACCGATCCAGCCACCCAGCCACCACCATTCGATCGACCAACCTTCCCCCAGTTCGCAGCTTCCCTCTTCCTTGTATCGCGTTCGAGTTTCCTCCTTCCCTGTCCGATGCTGACGCTGACGCCTCCGCCGACGCCGCCTCCGCCTCTTCGTGACGCCGCCTTCCCTCTCCGACTCCGCATCGATCTTGAATTAATTGAACTTGTTTTGAATTTAGACATTGTCATTGTGCACTTTAGTCAGTTGGCGATTATGTTGATTGTTGTCCCTTTGAATTTGATGATGTTTGTTGAAAGGGGTAAATTGCAAGGTTGGTCACTGAGATTACAAAAAAAGTTCATATTTGGTCACTAAACATATTTAATTCCATTCGTGGTCACTGAAATTAATTTAACGGTTCAAGTTTGGTCACTGGCCGTTACCTTCCTTTAGTTTCCATTAACGGCGTCAATTTTTTGTTGACGTGGCTAACAGACTTACTTAGTCACCTATTTTTAATCTGAAAAAAATAAAATCCAACTCTGCCACATCATAAAAGACATGCCACATCATGAAAACCTAATCATCTAACCCATTAACCCATGATCCGATCCACCCCAAATTAATCCCAGCCAACCCAAATTATTTCAAGCAGCAGGCTATTCTGGGGTTCTATTTGGATATGAGCTTGGAGTTGGAGATGGCGGATCTTCAGAACGGGAACAACGAAAGGTTGCATCACCTCTGACATCTCGCTTCAGTTTTAGGGTCGCCTGTCGTGGTTCACCGGTGAGTCTCGTTCTAGTCCAGCAAGTCCATAAGGATCGATGAGGCAGGCGAGCGGATTCACGGGGTCTTCCGGGATTCAATCGAACGTTGGGCGGCACCATCTCCATCGCTAGCCGGTCACGAGAGAAGAATTCGGCTTGGATATGGAGCAACTCGGCTTGAATCCAAAGAACTCGCTCCGTCGTAGCCAAAGTCTCTTCCAAAGAGCTCGTTCCACTTAATCCGCCGCCAATCACATTGCACGACCACCAGATCTGGAGCAAGAAGCCTAGGGTTTCCTCTTCGGGATTATGGCGAAGCTTATTGAAAGAAGAGAGAGAGAGAGGGAGAAGAAGAGAAAAAGGCCAGCGATCTGGAGAGAGAGAGAGCTTTGTTGCAAGCAGTGTGCAATCGAAGAGTGGAGGCGAATGGTGGAGGTCCTTGAGACCTTGACAAAAGGTAGGGGAGGGATTTGATGAGTAGCGATGAGTTGAAGATTGGGATATTTTGGGTTGGGCAGGTCCGGTTATGGGTGGATTGGGTTGTATGACGTGCCAGGTTAGCTTTAAATTTTTTCTGAATAAAATTAGCTGATTAGGCACTTCTGTTAGCCACATCAGCAAAATATTGACGCCGTTAACGGAAACTAACGGAAGGTAAGGGCCAGTGACTAAACTTGAACCGTTAAATTATTTTCAGTGACCACGAATGGAATTAAATATTTTTAGTGACCAAACATGAACCTTTTTAGTAATCTTAGTGACCTACCTTGCAATTTACCCTTGATGAAAGATAAGATAGTAAGGTTGAGAGATTGTTATGTTATCTAATTTGGAAGGGTGTTAATTGGTGAGTAAGGAGTAATTAAGTTAGTGGTAAACTCTCAAAATAACAAAGAACAAGTGGTAAATTAATTAACAAACCGGTTTAATGTTTGACAATTACCGTTGACATATTCCATTATTCATAGTACATGAATGGAAGTATAAAAATTAAAATATTGTAAATAAAAGTTAATAATTAAATTATTAATTTTTACATAAAATGCCAAAAAAAAAAAGAAATTTTAAAATTAGACAGTCTGCTCACAGTCGAGATTCAGACCGGTTTTTCCTGATTAACCTAACCCAAAATCTGCTTCTCCCTCTCCTTTGTGATAAATCAGTATAACCGGTTTGTAACCATTAAGCGGTTACAAATCGGTATCGATATTCAAATTTGGTCTGGCCTTAAACGGTAAACCTCCATATTTCATCTCTCATTGGTATGAGTCAATCAAGAATCTTGAACTCCACGTTATTGTCCATTGTCGATCCATACTTATCAAGTGTTCGAAACTCTGGAATAGAGTTAATGCTTCCTAGAGCTAGCTCATCACATTGCTTACTTGCCTCTTGCTTGTGGCCTATACTTCATTGAGAACTCATTTACTAAGCCCACAGATTCACCTTCTTTGTCTTTGTAGCCCACACCATATAAAAGAGCTCTGACCAAAGCGGTCCTTTTAATGCTCAAGTCCTCCTTGAGTAATCGGCCCATTTGTTGATTGAAATGAGAAAACGCGAACTCTATAAATTTATTGACGCCATCTACGAATTTAGGTGCTCTCCTATTTATTATACTCACCCAATCTTTATTTGGAATCATAATTTGCAAAATACAACCACAATTATAAATATTTATTGTTCACTTGGAAAAAAGTACTAAACACTAAAAGAATTAGTAACTTATTCAGCAAATAATGGTACCAACATAATGAAGAGTTTCTAACCTTAAACCAAAAGAGGAACGAAAATAAGAAGAGAGAAATTGTAAAGACACTGCTCTATATAATTATTTAACTCTTCGCAGCAAATAACTTCTACCAAGTCAAAACAATGCAATCACTTGCTTTTTATAGG